TGTAGATTTATGCATTTAGTAACGATTCTGATAAAAATCGTAGTAAAATAAAGTGGAGCTGCATAATCAATTGTTGAAAACTTTTTGCAATAGAGTTCAGAAATAAAATAATTAATCAGCTCGCGCAGAGAATAAAATCATAACATAATATACGATCTATATTATATAGTATGAATACATGACATATATGTATATTCATATATGTAAACGAGTAAATATAAATTAAAATATAAATTGTTCAAAAATTTAGGTTTCTGTAACAAATCATGCTCGTTAATTACTGTCTTTAAAACAATTCATAGTTCATAACGCTCAATAGTCTTTTTCTTAACGTTTCACCAAACTTTCTCGTGGTCTAACGTCTAATCGCGCGCCAACGTCGTCATTTACGCATTGTGGAAGTTTCAGGCACGCGGAAAACAATTACCCGTCGCATGTGAAAGAAAGTACCGCGCCTCGACAAAAATGGGCAGCAACGACTGCAGATATTCATGCTAGGTCGACAAATCTTTACATTTTGTGGATTTTGAAAAATACGCGCGACAAGACTATCGCTTCTATTTGCATAAAACTTTCGAATTGTCTACTTAATCGTCTGTTAGAAAGCTATTTATACAATCATCGACACAGGTATGCTTTCTCGTCATCGGACTACACCGAATTATCTTAATTGTAAAGCTCTCAGGATATCTGAGGTTTATTCGTTTAAACAATTTGTCTATTTCGTCTATTGAAATTTAAGAAAAAACAGAAAGTTTTTTATAAATATTAATGTAGTTGACAAAAATTGCGATGTACTCTCTCAATACGTATATTTAAATTATTTAATTATTCTAATTTATCTGTAATTTTTAAAAATAATCATATAATGTTTAAAAAATTCAAAAAACTTTGTATAAAAACCAAAATTGTTTTTTAAAATAAAAATCATAGCACATCAAATTTTGGAATATACTATTGGATGTTTTGTAAAATCTTATTAAATTTTATATATATAGTTTTTTAATTTTTACAATTATAATATTAGAAGATAACAGATCGTTGGAATTATTTTTTTTAATATTACAATAATTTATTTATATTATGTTACACGTTGCGTACACATAGTAATATAGTTGCAAAAAAAGGTAACATCATCGATAAGTGAACCGGTCACGAGCAAACGTCATGAAAGAGGGGATTGGAGAGGATTCTTGAACAAGAGGTGATTGCACTGTACACACGGCTTTTGGAGTCTTTGTAATTAACGTGACGACGACCCACTGACCCACTGGACGATCGATTTTTTTGCTCAACAGTTTGAGACAAACGCTTTTTTAATATCTGGACTTTATGAGACTCTCGAGCGTTTATAGAATTGGAAAGTATGTGAACTTGCTAATAATAACTTTTATTATTATTATAAACATATCATGATTCTGTGAATCACGGATTCTGAATTATGTTCGTTAAAAGTGTCCTCCGAAATATAAATCAAAGGTAACGATATTATCGCAAGAGTCCTGAAATAAATATTTGAGAGATTCCGCAATAAAAGAAACAACTGTTTGCATACTAATCAGTCCCACTTCAAACTATCTCGAATATCTACCTATTTTTCCAGAAACTTGATAGATATTTACCGACCTTCGTTTCTGATGATCTTTTCCTAATAAAACGCATCTTTTTCTGCGATATAGCATCGTAAAAAATATGCATTTTCACATCTAAAAAATTGTGATTAAGTAAAAAAGTAAATAGACTTCTAAATTGATTATGAAACATACATTTGCGTCTTTTAAATCTTTCAAAAAAAAATTTTTTTTAATGACTTCATCATGAAGAAATGGCTTTATCTCTCTCGTATCCAGATAATTTTTAATTATCTAAGCGCAATACTCGATTTATGTTTATTATATTATAAAATACACAACATTGAGTTCCAAAAATTCTATTTAATAAGAATTTACATTTTTGAGGAATGACATTTTCCGATCTCTCTCTCAATAACAAATCTTAAGGCACGCAGAGCAGGAAATTCTTAATTGGATCTCAAGTATCTTTATCGTTATAAAATTATGATACAGTTACACGCAACAGTACTCAGGTTAATTCGTACATGTCGAACGGAAATGACTCTGCCGTATTCGTCTTGTTTCTAAATGTGTCAGCTGTGCGAAAGGATTCAAGCAGAATTCCCACTGAAAAATGTCTCGACATTGGGCCACGGTCAGGGTCCCGGTCACGCGACCCTGATTTCGCGTCCCCGCGATTTCACGCTCGCGACGCGAACCCGCTACCGGATTTTCTCATCTTCCTGTCGCGGTTAATTGTCTAGAAAATGCATTGATAGCATTTCATTTCTGTGAGGTGAAACTAAATGAAATACGCGGAAAATATGTCGTTCATATAATGCACGAACGAAACTTGGTCGACGTAAAAAAAAAAAACGATATGTATGCATCGAAGAGAAATTTTATTCTTGTATAACGAGAGATAGATTGTTATGTAATAGTTACTTGCGAAAATGTCCAATTTTAATTACACTTTGCATAAAACTTTTTTAATCTCTGCGTATATTTAATAATAAAATAGTAAAATATTCTGTTAATGTAATATATATAGGGATATAGAGATACACGATATTTTTTTATTCGTCAAAAAGAGATATAAATAGATAAACTTGAATATGCAAAAGATAAAAGACAAAACGAAGTCCGTTTAAAAGATCTTTGCACCTGTTGTGTCTGGTTTTATTAGAGGCGTCTCTGTTCACGTTATGCTTGTTATGCAATAAATTTGTGATTTCACCTTCGTGGCTACGTTCTGCTTCGGCGATATAAAGAACGACCTCGAGACCACGAATCTTATTTCTTGTCAAGAGACAATCGTTTACTTCCCATGCTCCGGCAGTTTGTGTGTGAAAAGGTGCACTAGGAGCGTTCCTTCACAGAGTACCTACGTAATCTTTGACCTATAAAGGGCAACAGCCGTCAGGTGTACGACTTCGTGGATCTCTGTAATAAACAACAAATACTAAGAATTGTGTGGTATATGAAACTATAGTGCTAATTTTTAATTGAAGATACACAATATTTGAAGTAAAAAATTAATTAAAATTCATATTACAATCTATAATTTCCCCACATCAGCATTCGTAACTGTAAATTACATCTTCTGTAACATTAACATTTTGACGGCGTTGAAGAGTCAGTTCTCTTGCGACATCCTGGCACATTCTGATGCGTATACGAGATTCCTGCGTACTAAGATATGTCACATCTCGAGTCAAAAGATACTAAACTAGTAATAGCAAAATAGCACGTTGCGTCATTCGCAGGAAAAGGGAAGTGCCATTAACGTTTCCACACAAAATCGACCTGAGGAATGTCCATTTCTCTCGGCATAATTCCCGCCGTTCTATGAACGGCGGCGCGTTCGTCAAGGAGGTAGATACGGCGACAGGATTCGGAGTCCAGGGAGCGACCCGGCGATGAAAATCGTCAAGAAGGAGAGTGGGAGATTGTCTGGTAGTGAAGCGGAGTGGGACTCAGTCACGAAGTCTCACGCCTTCCACCAGTTCTCAGTCCGAAGACGAACGTACTGGTAGGTAGTGGTTTGCCGCTCCGCTCTGAGACCATCCGCGCGCGTGTGTGCGTGTGCGAGTGGTTGGTATGTGTGCGCGCGCGAGCGTAGAACGGTATAAGAACGGCTTCTTCGCAACGTCGATGTGTCAGTGTCAATCTTGAGACCCATACCCGGACTTTGTCGCGCTTTTTCGAGCCAATACGTCTTCGCTCGTAAAAAAAAAAAAAAAAAAGAGTCCGTAGCATCGACGATCGAACGAAAGCAGCATCCGCCATTTTCGTTATCTCCGCGAGTGAGGCCCAATGAGGCCCACCGGTGCTGGTACAGTGATTCGCGCGGCCGACGCCTGCGGCCGCGCCTCTGGATTCCACAAACACCAGCACACGGCTCGCAGAGATAGTCGTTAAATTCGCACCCGTCGGGCTGTTTTCTCCACTCGTCATTCTCCAAGGATGTCTACGGTGGCCCCTGACCGCGAGTGTACCGTGTGCTGAGTATGCGTATATGTACATGTGACAGCGGCTACACGTGGAGGTGCGTTAGTGAGGGACAACGACGGCTACGCCACTGCGTCGCATACCAGCGAGGGCCCTGGATCTGGTACCGGAGAAGGGGATAGAGAAGACTAGAGAACTGAAAGGAAGCGACGGAGACAGAGCACGGGAAGGGGCTGTGATAGAGAGAAGAGGCACGAAAGGAAAGAAAGCGACGGAGACAGTGAAGGAAGAAGAGAGAGAGAGAAAGAGAGAGAGAGAGAGAGAGGGAGTAAAACGGGGTCCGATACTGGCAGAAGGGGATTTACAAGAAGGCGGCCATAATGGCCTGAAGCGATCTCTGAAGCGAGCGGCTACAGCTGCTGTGAAATATCCACGCTGCTCCGAGTTCCTCTCGCTGTTCCTGCGCGTACGTATTTTGCAACGCTGCGCTGCATCGTGTACACACCGCTTATCCGCCTGTCTTTGGAAAGCAGCGACTACGTAATCGACTGCGAGTGCTACCAGGCGGAGTCTCGACGCAGCATAATCGCTCAATGAGCCCCTGAGTCACATCCGCGAGTCTATATTATGCGTGGGAAACGATAGTTCTCCAGATAATAATTAATGAGAATTATATTATAACTAAGGAAAAAAAATATCATATCGCTGCCGCTGATCGGGAAGATCGGGACGCATAAAATCTACGCGGTACCACGCATCAAAATCTCCAAATGGTTTCTCCATTTAGAAAAATGCTAGATCACTTTTAATATCATGTTGTATGAAATACGCGACTGACTCGCGTATAATATTTTGTTTTTGCTTGAAAATTGAAACTATTTATCTAATAACATTAAACCAAAGTTCTTGATTTTTTTTACGGCAACTGGATTGTGAAAGATAATTTTTTAGTTATTAATGAATATTAATTGCATTCAAAGTTTCCAAATTGTGTCACGAAATTGAATTTGATTGAATCTTTCTGATATCGATAAATTAATCGAACCAAACAAAAAGAAATGAGGGGAGCTAATCAGGATACGGCGACACCGTACTGTCGCTGCAGAGTTCTCTATTTGGGTAGTTCAGTACCGCATGCGAGCAAAGAGGGACTCCTAGGCGTTCAGGAGCCTCTGAGAGAACTTTATCCAGAGCAGGGTGCGTTGGGTGCCCGCGGAATAGACTCCTGGCTAAGCGTTTGGAGCAACGGCTTACTCTTGGAGAATGTTGACGAGCATCGTAAAAAAATTACGCGATTCTTCCCTATAGAAGCGCTTCACTATTGCGCGGCGGTCAGACATGTCAAAGGTGGAAACGGAGATACATCCAGTACGCGTTTTCTGCCGTTGGATTCGCCGTTCGCGCGGACGCCCAGCGCGAATCATCCACCCCTATTCGCCGCCGTCCTGCGAAGAACGACCGGCATTAAAGTTCTCGAGTGTCATGCGTTCATCTGCAAACGGGATATGGCGGCCAACGCCCTGGTAAGGTGTTGCTTCCACGCTTATGCCGATAGCAGCTACGCGAAAGGCTTGGAACCATCAGCGACGACGAACGGGGTCGCGACAGGTCATCAATCGAACAACAGTCTCTATCACACTCTAGGCGGCTCGAGCACCACTCTGGACAGTCCTCAGGCGACCCGTTTAGACACAGCTTCGACCGACGACCTCAGTCTGTATAACGGCGATGAAAATCATAAAGTTTGGGCTAGGGGTCGCGACGAAGTCGATGGTCTTTATCAGGAACAGGGCACCCTGAGAAGCACGAAGGGATCCAGACCGCGCCAGTTGATTGCCCCACCGCCGCCACCACCACCTCCGCCCCCACCCGCTCAACCGTTGTTGCTGGAGGAATCCTCTTCCGCGCGACGAAAAGCTAATAAGAAACTTAAGAAAATGAAGACTCGTTCGTTGCACGAGGATGCATTACAACAGCAGCAGCAACAACAACAACAGCAGCTCCTTCATCATCAGCTGCATCAAGGCGTGTACGCCAATGGCCATGGACATCACACCCTGGGTCATCCTATCAGGCAGCAACATTATCATCATCATCCGCTACCACCCAGCAGTCGATCCGTCGCCGGTACTTTGGCTAGACCGGCGCCGGTGTATCTGGTACCAGCAGCCACCTTGCCGCGAAAGAGTCATCATCATCCACGTTTAAGGCCGATTCCGGCAGCAGCGCCAATAGTCCCAGTCTATGCTCCTTTGCCGGTGGTACCGCCGACCGCGGCACCCATTTATCCAGCAGCCACGTACGGTACCGCAGGAAACAGAGGCAGACGACACCCGGAGGCGGATAACTCCACCTTGGGCACATCTAGAAGGTTAGCTGCCTCTCATGCGGATCTCACCGCGCCGGAAATTGCACGGCAGGCGGATAGTCCGGAAAACGAGTCCCGCTTTGGTACCGGCATATATCGACGGAAGGGTCATCTGAACGAGAGAGCCTTTTCTTACAGCATTCGGGCGGAACATCGTAGCAGAAGCCACGGCAGCCTAGCCTCCTTGGGATTCAGCGCGCAGAACGGCAATGCGCTACCAAAGGAGGAGAAGAAGGATCGCGAGATCGCTCAGCTGGTTGCCGGATTGAACCTCAACGATGGACCAGAACGGCCGCAGGCTCCAAATTCGAGAGCGGGATATCATCATCACCAGCAGCAGCAGATTCAACCGTTGCCCAGGCCGAGACCCCGTTAAAATCGCTTCTCGAGACTAGTATCTCGTAGTGTCATGCTGTCTGAAGCTTTCTAGGTAGTCCAGAGCGATTTCTGAATATTTTTTTATAGAAGAAAATACTTTGACGAGTGCGAAGCATTTTTATAGTTAAATTGATATATTCACCTGCTTTATCAGACCTCTTGATCATAAATTCCATTACTAATGATATGCTAATATTCTTCACTATATTAGAATAATGTCAGACAAATGTGGCGTAGTTGAACGTCAATTCGATTGCCAATGATGATAAAATTATAATGAATAATTGATAATTATCGTTCGATCGATGAAACTTCTTCGTGCAATCCTTTCTTCTTTTATCAATGATGTTACAGCTAGACAATTGTTCGAAATGAATTTTGCTTTTTCCGGTCGATCGCGTTGATGCAATAGCGACTTTGTCTGGGTTAACAAACATCTTCTTGCAGCTTGCTCCTCCAAGCGTGACATCGGCGCTACAGTTACGAGCGATTTCACGTTCCGTCGTCATGTCACGTGGAAAAAGACTGCATTGCAAAACGTGGCAATTCCGATTCTCCGTAGCGAGTTTTACTTAACGGTATTACATATATAACAGCAGATGTACTTATTTTAAATTACTTTTCTTAATTAATTCAAAATAACACTTTAATTTAAAGTATATTTTTTTTTGTTTCGAATATGATTAATACATTCAAATATATATATAGTATATGTACATATTCAGATAAATACATACAAATTAATGCATTCCATAAAAACGAAAAATCAGCAAGGTATACATAGATTACGCAATGACATAACGTTCCGAGAAATACAACGACCTTTCTGTCGCAGGACAAACTAATTAGATAGTAATTATTGTCGGTTCGCAGAAAGGAGACAGTTCTACTGTCTGAAACTCATTAGAAGGCGCAAAGCATGGAGAAAAACGAAACTGCTACATGTATTTTCTTTACGAAAATAAGTTGAAAGGCTTAAGATTTTAATGTCGTCGATATTAAAATCTCAGCTTTTTTTTTGGACACATAACATCTAAAAGTTCAATAAAATTTGGAAATTTTACTAAACTTTTAGCATCTCTTCCTTTTATATATAATTAAATAAAGTATTAGAGAGATCTTTTAAACAGTATTTTAACGAGATATACACAATTAGAAATTGATTGGTCACACATATATAATATCTCTGCAATTTATATAACTCATGGGGAAAAAGCAAAACGATGCGTTACATAAAAAGTAGATAAAAAGTCTGGTCAGATGTCTCGATATTTGCAATTGCGAAGAATACGCGAGTCGCGTATATTACGTCGACCAAGAAAATCGTCCTTGGTTATGACACTTTGCGGCCACGCGCTTGTTGAAGTTTTATCGTAGCACATTAGCACTGATGTCGTAAGCAAAAGCTTGAGCACAAAAGGATACGCTCTCATTCGAAGTCGAAGCACATTTCTTTAATGCTCGGAAGATCTTACCAATCTTATATTACACTTAAAAATATAAATATATATATATAATCAAATAAAATATATCGTATGTTTATTATCGTATTACTTAAAAAACTAATTTTTATTATTGTGTAAGATAAAATTGTCCGCAATATTTCTGGTCGAAAGCAATTATTTTGCGAGAGCATATTTTTTAACACACGGCTGACACACGACGATAATTTGTAAAAGATGATAATTCTCTGTAGATGATAATGTCTTCATCGATTAAAAACGTCTGACACATCGAGACGCTTTTGCGTGGACGTCAGTGCTGATGATCACGGTAGAGATCTTAATCGCTCAGTTGCTATAATTAACACTCTCGCTTACTTCATCGTGATGCGCAGTTACGTAAACGATCTCGACGTGTCGCCTGCGCGAATCTTCGAAAGTCGATTAAATTTTCTCAGTCGTAATTTCCATTCTTTCAGTTTGAAATGTCACTCGAGGCGAGTGCAAATCAACGGCGAGCTGCTATTTATTATGAAGATCCTGAATGATTCATGTACATATCAGTATTCGGTGATTAGCGATCGAGAACTGCGTAAGAATAATTATCCTTTTATTACGCAACTGGAATGTAGCATTCAAATGCCGCACAGAGGTTTCTCTCTCGATTGGCACGTCATTGAGCGCGTCAATTATGAGCTATAAAAAAAAAAGCTTCGCCTTTCGCCATAAATTTCTCCGAGCGGTAATGATAGACGTTACGTAGAAAAATGTCTACTAAGGATATACGAAACAGAAAGAGAATAATTTGACTTTCGTAACTTTATTTATTAAAAATATTACTGGAAGTTGCGCTTCAATAATATTTATACGTGGAATAACAGAAATAAACATAATCTTATGTATATCGATTCTGCACTTTCATTAGAAACTTTACGTAGTCGGCACGCTTTTTGCTAAATTGATATTCAAATAGAGAAATAACATGCAAAGCTATTCAATATGTAAACTCGGGATTATAAGCAGCAACGTGTTTATAGAAGGTGACATTTCTGCTTAATCGATGTGTGACTTCGAGCAAAAAGTTGCGGCGACACGTAGACATCGTTAACGCGTCACCGCACGACTTGTTCGTGACGGAAGTATTATGCAAATCAGGAAACGACAGGTATAGTGCCTTTTCCTTCAGAGTGATCCTTCCCTAAGATCTCGCCGATGAAAGAAACTCGCGTGTCATGTCACCAATATGCATATATTGAAAGATTAAATGCCACCAGAGATTAAATTTTCTCTCCATTCAGATACTCGATTGTGAAAAAAAAAAAGGGAAAGACATTTAGGTATAAATACGATGACCACACAAAACGAAAAAAAAAAACAGAATTCCACGCCATTAATTGTTATCGCTCGCTTGTGCATATGGATGCACACGTATTAGTCACCGACTATCATTATCATGTCGTTTTTACGCCAAGGTTACGACGCGATATGTAGTTCCCTCTTTTCTTTCCTTCATTTTTTTCTGTCACATTCTTTTCCAGGTATACTTCACGACGTTTGATAAAACAAAAAATGTTACATTGATACTATTGCGAAGATTGTATATTGCTGTAATATGTTACTCTGAAGTAGAAAGTGAGTGTAAATTTTACGAGCGGACCGTATCACGAAATGCGAGCATGCGTATGAATGCAGAAGTATATCTACATATATGTGTGTATTTACCAAATAAGCCAGTCAAAGTTAATTAAGCGAGAATGCCATTGAGTCACGCAAAAAACGTCGGAGTGTCTTGATTCTAATTGAAATATATATTTAACCAGTTTAACCGAGAATAAACACGTTTATAAGTGTTTTGACACGAAATCCATTCTATCGGAACGTTGTATTTCAGCAAAACGATCCGACCGATAGCGCATTCAGACTGTTTTACTGAAACTTTTTGAACAGCCGACGAATTTTTTGGTGCCGGGCATCACGGTTGTTCGAATACGAGACGCGTTATTTCACTTACGGTGCATTATATGCACTATGCACGCGAACCTCTCCGTTGCCGGCCACATTCCGTTCTCCCATGTAATTTTCAGGGTTAACCGCCAACCGTCGTACGCGATACTCTAGTTTCAGCATTGCAACAAACAACCGGTGGAATGCAAATTACCTTGATTGGTAACTTAAATGGAGCGCGTTCTCTTTCTCTCCCGTTAATAAAAAAGGCTTTTCGGTGAGTTCATTTTATTTTTGAACGAGTCGAAAGCTGGAATAATAAAATCTTACATATTCTTAAGGAAAGTCTGCGCTCCAAGTGTTTTACATGTACGAGAGAAAAATTACTGAACTATTAGACTGCAACAAAATTTCCCTCCTCCCCCTCAAAAAGAAATGAAAAGGAAATGCAATGTCAGTGAACAATGTTAATATATCTATTTGACACAAAAGTAAAAAAATTTATCTTGAGGCAAGAAGAAAAAGTGCGATAGTAAAAGACTCTTCCGATTCTCTTATCTTTCACTAATGCAATACAAAAAATGTAATTATTATTGGAGTTTTCGAAGGGAAAAGAATCCAAAGGGATCTTATAATCTTCCTCTTTCAAATAGGATAAGAAGTCTGATACTTTCGAACATTTTTTCGAACAGGAGGCATCGATGTTTTTCAAGTTTGTTTATTCTGGCGTTTTCTCGCCAGGACGCAGCCATTATACTTGAATGTATAGAATAATGAAATGTTATGTGAGACGCGGCAATAGCGATTTATAATTTGCAATTATAACTCGTAATATAATAGAATGTAAACGACGCAATCTAATATAAATGCTACGAGCGGTATAGCTATATGGCGCTCCGATATTATAACTGTAAATTTCTTCGTCGATTTAATCACTCTGTATATTCAGACAATCGTCTATCGTCTTCCATTTGATTCTCTCTTTCTGGATACGTTAGTATGCCAAATATATAAACTTGATGTAACAATTATACTAACTGCGTATAACATATTAAAACGCATCTGTGCTTATCGTGTGGTAAATGAGCAGCTGGCTTCGAAGGCTGGCTCGGAAATCACGACGAAAGTTACAAATGCAACAAAAGAAAATTTTAAGGAATAACAACATCGTTCACGGTCAACCGTAAATGATGATTTATTTCTTATTCTTCGTTATCTTTCTATTTTTTTATTCTATCGTTCTCATTTACATTGTTGTTTGCATAATTCTACACGAAAGGGATAATTTGCTGAAGAGCGTGTATTTAAAAATAAAGACCTAAAAATAATTTTGTCAAACCGTTCGAATAATTATGCAGAATACTTAAACCGATTACTAGATTTTCCAATTAGACTACAACTAAACTACAATTTAACCGCAGCATTGTTTATTATGCTTGAGATTTTCACGTAATTGTTTTGACGATTTTTATTCCGATAAAATTATTTTCAGATCTTCAGCTGGTTGAATTTTTAAATATACTCCAACAAAATCATTCCTTCCGCGTACATTTTACTTCATCGTGTCTATAGGCTTTAAACAATACGTGCATGCGACAAGCCACGTTATACC